TCAATTTGGGTACTGTCGAGTTCCATGATAAATTATAATCCTTTAAAGTTAACCATTTTGATGCCATAAAGAAAAAAGAGAAAAATGTAATTTAAATACTTGAATATAAAATTACAGGTAAACAGCAATATGAAATATTTTTGCCATTGTTTTGCAGAATTAAGAAGTAAATGCAGAAATTGGCCTTTCGATTCAAGGGCTGGGACTTTGTGGGTTTGTAAGGACATTAAAATTGGGTCTGTTTACGACTTCAAAACTCTTTTATGATTAATAGTATCGATAAAGTCGAGTTCAAAGTTAAAACTTTAAAAGTACTTTGTACAGTTGTGAAGCCAGATTTTTTCATCAAACTCAAACTGGTGTAACTTTCAATGGCCAATGCTTGAAGCGCTCATTTTGGGGAAAAAACTTTCTGTCTCTGTACAAGAGGTCACTTCGATTTAAGGACAAGTTATTCGCTTTTAGCGAGAATAAAAGAGAATGAGCTGAAACTCTTTTGCCGATAAAACTCATTGGTTGATCGGACATTTTTTTTCGATTCATCGAAAGCTTTCGTGATTTTGATGAATGGCCTTAAAACTTTGTAGTCTAAAATTTCAAGAATGGTAACACTTACAATCACCATTCTTTCAACAATTATTTTACTGTGGGCTATGCCATGTACAGTAAACCTTCGAGTTTTTCGCAAAACTAACAGACAGCTTAACTTGACTGAACTTAAACTGAGGATTTTTTATTATTAATTTGATCCTTTATTGCCATTATTACATCAATTAACGACCATTTGAAAAGTAAATTTTTACTGATTATGTTGAAATAATAACAAGTATTGTAACTCTTTTTAGCAACAAAAGTTTACTGGGGGTTTGAGGGTATACTGAATGTGAAAGAGAAAAACACCTCCTGAATCAACAATTATCTTTATATGTATTTATGGTGAAAATGAATAACCATTAACCATGGTACCTTTACCAATAAACATTCACCTGTCAACAAATCAAATATATCGCTATAACTCTTTTTGTATAACTTTAATTCGCTTCATATTTTAGATTCTTGCAGTCCGTGTAAAAAGTTTACAAAGGACTTTCAACTTTGAACTCGATTAATCGAAAACTATTGAATTTTAATTTACCAAACCTGAGAGTACTTACAAACTCACTCTTAACTCGAAAGAAAAATTTTATGCATTACTCTTTTAAAGTTGAAAGTAAAGTCAGTTGCAGTAAAAATTACAAGGCTATGAATATTTGATACACTAACAAAAAAGAGACACTCTCAAGTTAACATTAATTTTCCTCATAATAGTCATCTAACAAGAAATGGAAGCACATTTACGTTCCCATTTAATTTTGTCCAGTTTCCTATTGTTTAGTGTCTCTGAAAACAAAACTCGAGATGGAAACACTCAAAAGTAACTTAACTTCGGATCTTTTTTGTTAAATTAAGTGTCAATATCAAGACTAAATCAAATCAAAATTGAATTTTCCCGAATACATATCGCTTGATTAGCAAATTTCAAGATCATCAATTGATCAAACAAGTTAATTATGAAATGATTTTTAATTAAAATGTAAAAATCAATCTGAACTTACCCATAAAGGCGAGTCACCACAGAGTACTTCAAGGTTTATTCGATCCATGATAGAACTGACAAAATAATTTGAAATTTATTATTGAATTTAGATTCAGAATAAAGAATAACGTAGACTTCATCTACAGAGTGGAGAAAAAGTTTAAGCACATTTAAGTCCACATTTCAAATGCGCAGATAATCAATTCTTGGTTTTTTATTAATCTCAAAAGAATGAATGTTAACCATCAATCACTCATTCAGTTACTGAAGTTCAGTAACTTTATTTTTTAGCAAAAAGTAAAGGAAGAAAAAAGAGTCTCTTTCTTGCGCCATCTTCTGACACAAAAAAAGGATGAAAGTCAGATCTGTCCCCTTTCTGATTATTTTGAAACTTCATGAGTACAGTGAGAGCATTTCAATGATTTAATCAATTTTTCGGTCTGATATTGGCAAACAATCGTGAAAACTTCAAAGCAATTTTGAGGTTAAACCACTTATCCGATTTTAACCAAATGAACGAAGTCTTTAAACATCTCGAACTAGGAAAAGGAAAAATTGAAATCCAATTTTTGTGTTCGAACTATAAAAATTTACTTTGAAAAATTTGACTGGAAATCTTGGTTAGATTGGTGAATTTTACCACTACAGTCAAACCTCTCAAAATGAGACTTCGTGGGGATAGCTTTTTACGCAATTTTAAAGGCAAAGTCTCTGAAAATAACTTCAGAATGTAAACAATCTCTTGCTAGGTGTGAGATTGTTAATCAAATTTGTTCATTTCGTGATTTTTTATTGAACTTGAGATTTGTTTAAATTAAATACAGTTTATAAAGACCTTGTACTCTCATAATCTGACACTGAATAGGTGTTTAAATCATTCATCGTCAGTCTATCCATGTATTCAACTAAAGTCGGTGAATCTTTGATACCTTCAGTCAATTGACTGTACATTTGAGCAACATTATCATCTTCATTATTATTTTCAATATTCTCAATTATTAGAGATTCATCAACAATCTCTTCTCGATAACCAGCATGATTCCAACAATTAATGATTGTGTCCATTGAAACTTCCGACCAAGAGTCATTTATCCATTTCAAAGCATCAAAAATATTAATGTTTTTCATGATATCATTGAGTGACATGTTTTGATCTAAATATTCCGAGAATCTTTGAAATAAATGTTGAACATATTTGTTTTTGAAGGCTTTGATTATGCCATTATCCATTGGTTGAAGATGTGAAGTAGTTTGTGGAGGTAACCAATAAAATTGAATATTGGGGAACTTATTCTCGTCAACCTTATGTCCAGCGAAATTGTCAATGATGAGAGCTATTTTTTCATCTTTCTCTATTAATTCCTTGTGCCATTCAGATAGATAATGATCGAAGAGTTTAAGTGTCATCCAAGCTGAACTATTTGACTTATAAATTATTTGTAGATTTG